TCCACTGCTTTCATCTCTTATTGTTTAACTGAGAGTTCATCTACTTTCAGTGATACACTCCCTTACTCTGAGCTCAATGTTTCACACATTCACACTTACAATTCCTCTCAGGACTTTCACTTCAACATCACTCAACAGTTAAAGTCGTTATTAATGATGCTTTTGATGAATTACAGAGAATTATCACCTGTATCTGCAGCTCTCCTCAGTTAATAGTGAGTTTTAGCTCATTGTTTACACAACTTTACTGTTTTGGTTCACTCTCATAGCTTGGGCAGCTGTTTTCAGTGCGAAAGTTCTGAATCTCCGCTGTATGCGACCTGCTCGGATCCAAACCAGATCTTTCCTTGAGGATATAGTGTAAACGTATTTCAACACTTCCATTTTCGCTGCCATTTAAACTTCTTTCACTGTATGTTGCCTGCCACTTTAACTTCTTTAAGTGTTTCAGCTATTTCACAGGTTTCAGCTGCAAGTTTTCAACTGTAAAACTGAAACTTTCTTAAAATTTCTCCTGACAATTAAGCCTTTTGTTTGTGATTATAAAATGGTTGCAGATTAGTTTTCTGTTGCTCTAAATAACAAGACTGTTGTTCAGAGGTGGAAGAACTTTTTACATAATTAAAATCTATTCCACATTTTCCCAAATCTGAGTCCTTTCATTATTGTCCCTGCCTGCCTCCATCCTCTGTTGGCTCATTTTCTTTACTTTTTTTTTCCCCTTTTCCTCTCCTTCCATCCATGTACCTGTCACCCTCATTCCTCTGGTTCACTCAAGCTCAAAGAAGAGCAGCAGGGAGGGGGGCAAGGAGAAACTAGGAAGGTGTGGAGAGGAGGGCAAGCTGAGAAGGAGAAGGGTGAGGAGGGGGGAGAAATGTAGAAAAGAGAGTGTGTGTGGTGGTGGTGGGAGGGGGTGACAAGGAAAAGACCAGATGGAGAGGAGCGAGAGAGGCATAACGAACATAGAGGAGGGGACCAAATGTTCAGGCCCCCCTCAGCGCTAGAAAACCCTTTAAAGTGAAACTGGCCTGAAGAATTTCAGGTCAGACGGAGTGCGTAAGTGACCGCCTTCAGCCCACCCCAACTTCACCACAGAGGGATGATTCCAGTTCATTTACTCTGAGAGCCCCCCTGCCTTCAGGACCTTCACATTTGTCCACTCAAAACACCCACAATTTTACTCAAACACCACAACTTTAAGTAATATAACAAAGAGCCTGCAGCTTCACATTTTCTTTTCAACACAAATAACAGCATCGGCATTAACAGCGACTAATTCAAACGCTCATATATAATCAGTCACAGTCTAAGCACTAATTATAAACAGGCTTTGAATTCAGTCTTAATATAAAGCCTGAGAGGATAGAAAGGTCAACTGCAGCCGAATGTTGCCACATATGTCCCCTCACAGAGCTACATAGTCATTACTAATCATCTGCTTTAGCTTTAGCACTAACTGAAAGGGGCTTTGCTTCCTTAGGCAAACACATTCCTCAGGCTAATCAGCTAGCCTGTTCAAGGCCATAGCAGACATTGTTTCAGACAATTACTTTTGACGTTGACAGTGTCACACACTCGTGATAAAGGCTTTAGTGGCCCCTGTGTGTGTGTGTGTGTAAGGGGAAACCTGTGAGATTGAAGGCTGGATGATATTTGGCACCCAGATATCTGCATATAACCTCTTTTTTTTCAGCATCCCTCACCCTCACACTTGCTACACAAGCTTACAAAAGACCTAACCTTCATACACACTTTTATACTCAAACAACGGCCCTCCCTGTCGACAAACACAGTTGGGAGAACTGTGTCAGACTCATGCAACTGAAATAACAATTCTGTTAAAGCAATCATTTTGTTTTGACTGTAACTAAGATAATCTCTTACAAAATAAGTAAACTGCATCACATATAAAAA